GAGAAAAAGAAAGTAAGCTAGTCTAAAAAATGAAACCACTCTTTGTTTTCGCTGTTTTCTTAGCTTTTACATTGACAGCTTCAGCAGAAGGTAAATTATACTTTTAATACCAAAAAGTCATCAATTGGCTCTCTTTTTGACATCTAACTATCTAGAAATCTGCCAAACTGCCGAGTGCAAAGCGCTGAGTGAGGACCTTCTGCACCACTCAATCAACGAGTCGGCTGCGCCGGTAAACTAAAGAAACACCCCAGTTTTACACAAAAAAAATTTAGAAAACTAAAACTTTTTTTCAATTTTTTTAGTGCAACAGCTTTTTCGACTACGTCTGCGGCAGATGGCCGGCATCACACCCACTGCCAGCTGCCAATGGCTCCCGTCGAGCCATCAACTACTTTTCCCTTCGACAGAGCCTGGTGCTGGAGGAGATCGACGCGGCCCTTCTCAACGCACTGAACTCCAGCAATGTGGCCATCCGCTCGGTGGGGCAGATCTACTCGGACTGCCTGGACAGTGCCACCATTGAGGGGCGAGGTGTGGCGCCGCTGGTTGAGACCATTCAGAGAAGTTTGGGCGATTGGCCACTGCTGCAACGGCAGAAACCAACACAAAACAATGCCACAAAACTAACGTCCCACTGGCAGGACCTCTACGTCAACGCCTACGCCACCACTGGCATCGTCGCCGCCTTCAACCTCAGCACTCTGTTTAACTTTGATCTCGGAAAGTCCATTGCCTATGTAAGAGAGATATGTGAGCTGCTGAGATAATTGAAAATGTGATTTATTGCAGTTTTTTCCCCTATTTTTTTCTTTTCTCCTCTTTTTTGCCAGGTCACATCAGGCGTCATCAGCAACGCTCCTACCAGCGCCTTTCTAACCGAGAGGACCCATTTCGAAGAGTACCGAGCCTTCCTCCACCAGCTGCTGGCCACCTTTTTCGCCATTCCAGAGGGTGATCGGCTGAAGGCGGACATCGAGGCGGTGCTCCACCTGGAGCAAAAGCTGACCACCGCCTACCTGGAGGCTTTCAAGCTGCACAAGGGCAGGGACATCTTCTTCGGCAGCTACGCCGACCTGGAAGTTGCACTGAAGGGCAAGGTCGACTGGCGGTCAGTGCTGAACGAGCTTCTGGGCAGGCTCTCGCTGACTAAAGTGCCCCTGGTGACGCCCACCGACAAAGTGCACGCTCGAATGCTGCCGTACCTCGTCGAGGCGACGACCATCCTCGAGACGACGCCCATCTCGGTGGTGCGCAACTGGCTCGGCCTGATGATGGCCTTTCAGCTTAGGCAATTAAGTACTAACGCATTTCAACAAGCGATTGCCAATTTCACCGAGGATCACAACTACGATCAGAAGGCTAGAAAAGCCTTTTGTAGTGACTTTCCAACGCACTGGCCCGCCGTACATTCGCGCATCTACATTGACACGCACTTTTCAACAAAAGAAAAGGCCGAAGCGGAGATGATGGTCCGGTCGTTGAGAGTGGCCTTCCAGCAGGACCTGGCGAATCACACTGAGTGGCTGGATGAGAAGACGAAAAGGGCCGCGCTAGAAAAGCTGGCGGCAATCAAACAGGTGGTCGGCTACGAGGACTGGATCATCGACGACCAGGCGCTGACCGCCGACTATCCCCGCCTGAGCAATGAAACGATAGTGAGGGGAAGGTTCTTCGAGAGTGCCCTGCCCCTTCGTGTGGACTACCGAAGGAACATTCTCGGCTTCATGCACCCCGACACGCCGGTCATTCCCTATCCGGAGCAGGCCGCTCACGACCCCACGCTGGTGAACGCCTTCTACGGACTGACCGCCAACTCCATCAGTAAAATTAAAGAGCTGAGGATTTAGTAAACAACAGTTCACTACTAATTCATCCCTTTTGTTTTTGTTTTTGTTGTTGCAGCCATCCCCGCAGCCATCCTCCAGGCGCCCTTCTTCGACGACCACCAGCGCCCCTACGCGATGAACTACGGCGCCATCGGCTCGGTGGTGGGCCACGAGCTGACGCACGCCTTCGACAACCGAGGGGCGCGATTTGATAAGGAGGGGAAACTGCGCAATTGGTGGTCACGGGAGACGCGGGCCAAGTTTAGCGAGAAATCAGCGTGCTTTGCCGAGCAGTACGGCGTCCTGCGGGAGCCGCTGACGGGGAAGATGGTCGACGGGCAGAACACGCTGGGGGAGAACATCGCCNATGCCAAGTTTAGCGAGAAATCAGCGTGCTTTGCCGAGCAGTACGGCGCCCTAAGGGAGCCGCTGACGGGGAAGATGGTCGACGGGCAGAACACGCTGGGGGAGAACATCGCCGACAATGGCGGCATCAGGAGAGCGTGGGATGCCTACCGGGAACACCAGAAGGCCACCGGAAAGCCTTCCCCGGTGCTGCCCAACCTAAAACTGACCGCCGACCAGCTCTTCTTCGTCGCCTACGCCCACAGCTGGTGCGAGAATGTGACGCCGGAGTTTGAGGCAAAGGCTTTAAAAGATGTCCACTCACCTAGTCGTTTTCGCGTCGACACCGTCCTAGGCAATACGCCCGCCTTTGCCACTGCTTTCCAGTGTCCACTGGGCTCAAAAATGAATCCAGTCAAGAAGTGCTCGGTTTGGTAGAAACGTTATACTTTTTTGTTTCAATTCCTTTTTTTTGTGCTAAAACCCTAGCATTAAACAATGAAAAAACAGCCCAGTGAATGAAAACAGCTTTTTGCTTTCACAACTTTGGTTCACAACAAAGTGCGCTTTTTGATGAAAATTTTAAAGCTGAAGAGGATCATGGAAATGTAGAAGAAGAGAAGCTGTTTGAAACAAATAAAATTAAAAACGTTTGATTTTACAAACACAGATTTAGCACACCGTTTTACCTCCCACAGCCAGCTGCTGTCAATCTTCGAGTGGCTGCCAAAGGTGAAGGCAATCTTGTTGCGCGTACAGAGCACCTCGTAGTAGGCCGCCATCTTCAGCTTGGTGGCCAACAGGTACGGATTAAATGGAAGACCACTACTTCTGTCACCATTTCTCGCTTTTTTTCCACAGAAGAACCACACCTGCGCCCGGTACAGCTGGCCCTCGGCGCTGTACAGCGCCCCGCTGACTCGATCCAGAAAGCCGAGAATGGCAAACATGGCCAGCTGAATGAGGATAATGTCCACGAGGAAGAACCGTACGGTGACGTGCAGCGGAGCGAAGTACACCAGAACGATGCAGTAGACGTTGGAGGCGAGCACGGGCACGAAGACCCAGAAGACCATCGTGGAGAGGGCCGCCGAGTTGACCGAGACGAGGTCCACCAGGGCGAGCGAGTGCTGGTGGAAGAAGTGCCACCAGGTGGTGGCCGCCTGTTCGTAGTTTCCCCTGCTGGTCACTTTTACCCGTTGAAAAGTCGCCTTGGTCAGCTCGGTCAGGTGAAGGTACAGCGCCAAGGAGACGGAGACGAGGATGGTCGCGTAGCAGCCGACCAGGCCGTAGGCTCGTCGCAGCACCGCCATCAGCTGGAGAAAGTCCACCAGAGCAAATCGAACCGTCCACTTTCCGGTTGAGGCAGGCAGCACAACTGAAGGAAAGAAGAAGAAGACGACAAAGGCGAGCAGAGTGCCCAGCGAGAGGAGGAAGACAAAGGCGGCAAAGGCGAGCTCGATGACGGCGCTCACCAGGGCGATCCGCGTTCGACTGACCGGCGACAGTGTTCGGTAGTGGTGGAGGCGTGGTCGGGCGAATCGAATCAGCCTTTTACCTCGAAGCAGCGCCACCAGGTGAAGAATGTTTTGAAGGATCCACCCCGGAGAGAGAAAGCACTCCAGTGAAAAGGGCTCTCCGGTGGCGTTGAAGGCCTCCAGCGGTGCTGGTGGTAGTGAAAAAAAAAGATCTTTTAACAACGCTGTTTTTAATTCAAAAACACCTCTTCTTCTCATACCTCTATTGAAGACCATTAGATCTATTAAAACGGTGGCCAGTCGGCGATCAGGGGGCGCCATGGTGAGCACGTAGTCCATGTAGAAGGCGATCACCACGAAGGCGGCCAGACAGAGGCCCACCAGGTGGTGGGTGGTGATGGCGTCCAGGACGGCCATCAGCGGATCAACTCGGGTGTACTCCTTTTGAAAAAGTGCATAGAGAAGCAGTCGAGTGGCGTACTCCAGCAGGCTGAGGTAGTAGAGCAGGCTGGGCGGATGAGAAGTCCACAGCTGCCAAGGTGAACCTTCCCGCCTACCACCACGCCCCTGCGCATGAACCAATCGCCGGACGTACTGCAGCGTGCGATTCTGTGCTGAGGTGTAGAGGAAGAAGCTGCTCAGGGTGATCTTGACACTTTGCCCACTTTCACTCTCACTAAACATACTTTTCTTTCTGCTTTATACTAAAAGATAAAGTGAAAACACTACTGAATAGTTTTAAATAGTGGCACACACTTTTATGTTTTTTTTGCATTTTGCGCAAACTAAAGCATATTCTTAGGGGTTGGTTTCTATAGAAATTCACAATTTTAAAAAATCAAATTTTGTTTGTTTTTT